ACAATAATGTACAACAAAAATTTCACAATAAAATTTAAAAAAAAACTATACTTTCCTGATGATTTCGGGACCCACTGTCCTTATAGACATAAAGCATACCATGCCACGCTTCTCCGGATTTGCACTGCTGGTCTGCAGGAGAATTGTAGTAGCCTTGAAAGGGCTACAGCAGAAGAGCTCTCTACCTCTCCTTAGCGTAAGAGTTTCTCCTCTTGCTTGACCATTAGGGTACAGTCTTCCTTAGCAGAGTGTGTGCACGTGCAGGTGTGGGTGTGTTAAAGGATAGGAACTCGTGGATGAATGTGAATGGCCAGCTAGTGAAGCCCAGGCAGGGCTCGGAGGAGTCAGAGTCAGACGTGGATTCCAAGCATCCACACCTCTGCTTTTCAGTTCAGTGAGGGCTGTCACTTCAGCCCAGATAAGCGGGGCCCTAGCAGCACTTGGAAATGAGGCAGAGAGCTGGATAATGCAGAATACCAGTCCACCGCAGTCAGGGGGTTGTCCCCTCTCAGCACCACATCGTATAAGAAGGATGCTTGGTGACTGCAGAGAAAAGGCAAAGGGAAGGAAACCTCTGTTTGGTTAGTGTCTACTCTGCCTGGCATTACCCTTGGAGCATCCGGAGATGGTTAAAGGCAAACCCTATCTAAATCCATGCACTGCCCGTGAGGACTTTGGATCAAGGCTCTAAGGCCAGGAATCAATATTTGACCCATCCCTTTCCTGGCTACATGAATCAAATTTCCCTCTTTGTGGGTTTGCTGAAAACACTATTCCTTTTCATAGAGGAAAGTACAATGCTGGGAATCCCACAGTTCTTGGGGGGAGGTAAGGTCCCAATGGCAGATTCCAGGGGCCATCTGTCTCCCTCCAAGCTCCTCCACCTCTCTGTCATCGTGAAACCTTCCTTGCGGGTCTGCCAGCTCCTGGAGTGTGATCACATGTGCAGGCTTAAGGCCAGTGCTCTGGTGATGAAGCAATTTGCTGCTGTCCCATCCCTGACCCTGGTGATTCCAAGCAGTGTCTGTGGTCAGCTGTGTGGGTCCCACAGAACTAGAGGGCTGCCACTCAGAACAGAACAGCCCTGAGCACTCATTCAGGGTCATTCTGACCTGACCCCAAGCCAAGTGCATTTTCTATTAGATGCCACACCTGGCTCCAGCATGTGGCTCTAAATCTTGTCTGCCTATAATGTCAGTGTTTGTCACCCACGCTCTAATTTAGTGCTGCCCAGGTTGGAGGTTTGCAAAGAAAGGAACCTGTATTAGTTTTCTGTGACTGCTGTACCAAAGTGCCACAAATTGAGTGGCTTAAACAATAAACTTTATGGTCTCATGGTTCTGGAGGCTGGAAGTCTGAGATCAAGGTGTCAGCAGGACTGGTTCCTTTGAGGGCTGTGAGGGAAGGATCTGTTCTAGCCTTTCCTCTTGCTTCTGGTGGTTTCTGGCAATCTTTGGCATTCCTTGGCTTGTAGAAGTATTATCCTGATCTCTGCCTTCGACTTCACATGGCGTTCTTCCTGTGTGCATGTCTGTAGCCAAATTTCCCATTTTTATAAGGACACTGGTCATGTTGGATTAGGGGCCATTGTACTCCAGTATGACCTAATCCTAACTTAATTAATTGCATTTGCAAGGACCCTATTACCAAATAAGGTCACATTCTGAGGTATTGGGGGTTAGGAGTTCAACATATGAATTTGGGGGGACCACAGTTCAACCCATAGCAGGACCCAGGCAGTTTGGGGCAGTTTCCATGTGGTTCCCGTTGGAGCCTCTGCTCTTCCACCGTGCACAGTGTGATCCCAATAGCTTTTAAGGGTGTGCAAGGATCAGGAACCAGCCTTGCCAGGGGGCCCCTGAGGTGGGCTGAGGTCCAAATTTAGCTCCCGTCTCCTTCAGAAGCTAAGTGAAGATGCCTCCGGCAGAGGAGCTGCATGTTCTGTGAAAGGAGCCCTGGGCAGAGGGTAAACACAGAGGACCATCCCTGCATACCAGATGCTGCATCTGTGGCAGCAGGATCGTTCTAGACCCCACATGATGGTGGAGCATCAGGTGCTGATCCAATCATGGTTCTGGGGCCTGAGCAGGGCTGGGCCTCCTGGGGCAGCCACCAGCACTGCCTTTTGAGAGGATCTCTGATGAGGAGCCGCTTGGTCTTAACTAGCCACTAATTTCCCAATCACATTGTGCCATGGCCAGTGGTTCCTAGCACATAGTTGGCAGTCAAAAATACCCGCTGAGGGGCCAGCCCCATGGCTTAGTAGTTAAGTTTGGCGCACTCCACTTCAGCGGCCCAGGTTCACAGGTTCAGATCCCAGGCACGGACCTACACCACTCATCAGCCATGCTGTGGCGGCGAACCACATACAAAATAGAGGAAGATTGGCACAGATGTTAGCTCAGGGCAAATCTTCCTCAACAACAACAAAAAAAAAATACCTTCTGAAATAAGCAAATGCATTTGGAGTCAGCATCTCACTGCAGCAAGGCTCAGAGACTTTGAGGGTCTTACTCAATCTTCCTGAAACTCAGTGGCACCATATGTAAAGTGATCCCTATCTACCTACTCACAGAATATTTTTTGACATACCTACTGCCAGTGATATGTTGATAAACCTGCTCTTTGCAAAAGAGCTCTTATTTGTAGTCTTTGTCAATCTCCAGGGTGTAACTATCCCCACCATGTCCAATTTTAAATAACCAATGGTTTAACACTGCCTTGCAAAAAAATTCCTGAATGTTTTACAGCTGGCCCTAGTGAGCTGGTGCAAGCCAACTCCAGCACACCACGACCTCTAGCACCTGGTTGGTTATGGGGATCAAATGATACAATATACGTAAAAGTGTTTTATTTACTGCAAAGTGTTTTGGAAAAAAAAATTTATTATTATTGATTACTATTATTTCCTCCATGTAGTCAGCTCACTCACTGAGCATCAGTGAGCCAGGCATGTTGAAAGGAACTGAAGAGTTCCTGGTGAACCAGCAGTCATCGTTCCTGTCCTCAAGGATCCTAGTGTAGAAACAGACATTAAGTGAATGATTGTTACAGATAATGATGGAGTTGTGATTGTGATGGATGCTTCCA